ACAACAGTATCAGTAGTCTATATTTTAATAATCTGGATTACGTGAAAAATCTCAACACCAAAAATATAGTAACCCTAATATTAAAAATCGTTATGACTAATCACCTTATCCGATGAGTGATGATTTCCAGCAGCATTCCTCGGTGACGTTGAAATCCTTGCTTATTATGACTCGACTTCAACTCACTGGGTAACTGATAACACCTGACACAAAAGACTTGGATCGCTACTCCAAACACAACTGTTCTATTTTATCTAAATTTCGGCAATCACGCACTCATGAAGATCCCAATCCCCTCACGGCGCCCAGGTTACTTGCGAACAAAACGGCAAACGGGGTAAAGTTCTCGGCGAACCCGACAGTTTTACTATTGCGACACAAAGCCTCTTTAGTACGGAGTTGTGAATTGAGGTCCTTTTCAGTTTATTGAGCTTATATTGCAAAAAACAGAACGGACGATCTTCATGTTCTGCCTGGTTATTGTATCAAAATTATCAAACCTACTCTACAAAAATCGTAAAAACATATACCGAAAAATTAAAAGATTTTTGCATAAATAAAATGTCCACTTTATGTACGAAAATTAAACCCGTTGATTATAAACCAGCAGAACTACTGTCCCATTAAAGTTGGCGAAAATGTGCAATTATTTCAAAAAATATTGAAAGAACATATTAATTTTGATACTGTTTTATCAGAGAAAAAGAGATTTCAGCAAAATATCGCAAAACGTTTTAATTATGGAACGTGGAATAATTAAGCGGACAGGAAAATGTCTGCCCAATTTTTCCGTCTACATAACTGTCGCTTTTTTAGCACGGTATGTCTACTTAACTACCGTATTAGATATATATATATATATATATATACAGCGAATCCATTTATGCAAAATAATTGTTGATTACTTCGTGTTAATACTATAAACTTAATAATCGACAGCCTGAATAGTTCGAGCTAGTTTAGACAAAACAGAAAGCAGAAATCATCATCATCACTATTATCAAAACATACGGAAAAGATAAGATATATATAATATCAAAAATTGCAATTGTGATGAAACCATGAGCAGAAATTGTGCATTAAATTAATATTAATTGATTTAACAACAACAACAGCTTTTACAAAACGTTTTGATAGTAGAAGCTTGCAGTAATTCATCTAGATTCTAGAACATTATCGCATTTGAGTAGCGTTTCACGACTATTCATCGTATCGTCGTATCGTATCACCCTGGCTTGATGAAGAACGCCTAGCTTGTTGTGATTCATAATTTACCGTTGAACCGTGAATATTTTTCAGACTACTATTCAATAATAATGAACGACAATTAGACGCTTCCGATTTTTCAAATTCGATCAGATTCCCAAAGCTTTTAGACCGAAGCCTCCTATAGGCTTGCACGTAATTTACGGATTTACGGAATTACGTAATTATTTGGAGTTACGGAAGGGAAGTTACGAATTACGTAAAGTCGTAATTATTGCATTGAAACGAGCTTTCTTCAAAGCAGTCAATTTCGTCGATTGCGAAAAATGAAAGCTCAACGAGTAGAAGAAGTTAGAGTTCCGGTATTCGCAGCCGTTTTTCTCTCTCTTGTTACGTAGGTGAAGGAAGGCATGCCGCGTTGCCATTTACCAACCTATTATCAACTTATCTGGCGTGGCCAATGTAAATTATTAGTTAGTTAATGGGGGAAGAACTGAGTAGGGTCGTTTGACGTCAACACACCTGGTTTTAACTTCTCCCGCAACTAAACCATAGATAAGGGATAGAATTGTGTTAAGACCGATAGACGCTAACACGCCCGGTTTCAACTTCTTCGGGTGAAATGACTAATGGACGCAGGAGATCAATCTATCAAACATGGCCTATCAAACATTTGTATTCATTTTACTTTTATTTATTATTTACTTGTTCCAGTTTTCCGTTACTTATGGTATATATGTTCCGTTTCTATTTTATATTCACGCGTTTGAATAGTGGGAATTCCCCGCCAAGTGTGGATTAGCAATGCTTAACCATTCTTTATTGTTAATATCAACACTTGATATATGAACATGGAATATCATATTGTTTTTGGCTGTTTCATTTCAGACTTGGGGTATAAACAGGAAAATATCCATAACCTTTCAACACGACGATCTTGTGAAATGTAACGAAGAGCTTTCGCGACGAATTGGAACCAAATAAGCAAAAAGAGCGATTGATCACTCGCGCCAATACCTCGCCGTGATAATTAATGTGCGCTTATCAAATAGCAATTTGACGACAAAAGAGAGATTGCGTAATGAACCAAAACGACGGATTCCTCGCGGACCGTTGAAAATCTAACTGCTATCATATATAATCAAATATGAGCCTGTGTGTTTATTCTGTGCGAGATCCATTTTCTATTACAAAATCTTGATGTTCTGTTAACGGTTTTATCTTATATATCAGTCCGGACTTGGCCTTGCTCATGATGTTTTCCACAATTCCTCTCAATATTTCGGCCATATATGATTAACTGTCTTACCAAATGCGGCAACTTATTTTGATTTATCGTCGACTTGAATACCACCGGCACTCGACCAAACTTTTGTCAATGTTGGCCGATAGGATCGCCGACTTGAGTTAGCAAATAAATGTTGTGAGTGTAAAATAAATGTCACAAAATGCATTGTTTTGCGATATAACTTTGTATTTTCGGAGAAGGCATGTCATATAAGTTCGGTATTTAAATTATACGCAAATAAATAATATTTGATCTAAATTTATCGCAAATAATGTTATAAACATTCAGTCCGCGAAATGATTGAATGTAAAATGAAGCATGGTAATCGGAATATCGTCAATAAGTCGACATCAATAATTATTATTATAAAAATGCTAACAAGGCATTAATGTCGGATAATGCAGAAAACGCTGCAAAAACAAGTCTTCGTCGCGAGGAAATCGCAAGTATAATCAAATGAGAGAATACGCTCGTCGTTGGTTAATAAATTAGAAACCCGTAATTTTTATTCAGTACTAAGGTGGTTTTAAAAAACTATCGTTTCCATAAATATCCGTATACCAGTGTCGGTAATGATAAAATAAAATTGATCGCATAAAAATGGGACGGTTAATTTGCGAAGGTGATAAAGAAAAACCAAAGCTAACACAAAAGATAAAAATCAGAATAAAATTAATTTGAATTCACTCCTTGATAGTTGTTTTTAACATCTGCCGCCGGCGTGTAGTACTGCCAAGAATAGAAAAACCCAACTTCAATGTCCCATACGGTAAAAAAGTGGATTCAATGGGTTGTTACGATAGGTTTAAATGCGTGGAAAAATATCGCAATTACGGGGTCATTACGTAATTGATTTTGCCGTAATTACGGAATTGATTTTTGTCAATTACGTGCAAGCCTAGCCTCCTACTACTAGAACGTATTGATGGAGGAAAAGATTATTTTCATCGTGGTTTTCCAAATTGTTTGTTATTTTTATGGTTGACACTTTACGTTCAACTATAGGCAAAAGACTAGAGGATCTTAATTTTACATCAGAATTCCAGGCGGGAATATCGTTTCTATGTAATAGCTTGCCGTACTTGTAAGCGTTGTCTTCGCTAGAAAGTAGAATCCTTTAGATTCATTACAAGTGATTTAAATTTTTCGATGGTTTTATCAATTTCTTTAAAAACAGGAGATTTCTCGAGTTCACTTCTGTGTGCAGTCACATTCTGGTCGAGTTGTTTCTTCGTTTTGCTCTTCTTTTCATTTTTAATTGGTGACCTCAGTCGTCTCGACCGCTTGTGGACTACAACGGGGTTTTCATATGAATCCTTTTTCCTCTTGAATATTTTGTTCCATTTAAATCCCATTTTGCGATTAAATGATGGTGAAGTGTTTGTGTTTTCTATTGTTCGCGAATATTCTTGCGCATATATATCAAAAAGAATTTATTGAGGCCTTTCCATTACTTTTAATCTATAAAAGGTGAACATAGACATCAAAGCAAAACAAAAGATAATTGCATCAATGTTACGGCGCATTTCTATAACCATTAGACGTAATTAATCCGGAGGCATGTTTGAAACGTAATGGCAGTATTGGTGCTTCATGCTAGATTAGAGTTACAACTGGTACGTGTCGGCTAGTCTTGGGATAAGCGTAAAAATGGGCACTGCGTTCCACCTTTGACTTTGGTCAGTTGTGTTAATGCCCACACAAGCCAAAGTACAAATCAATGATAAATAATAATCAGGAAGTCATTTTGCTAAGTTTATTTACGTAATCGCGTTAGAGTTTCTTCCGTTTCATGATTACAACCATCTCTGCCGCCAATTCTTCCCTTTGCATGGTTTTTCTCGTTCATTGTTTAATGATATATTTGTCTCTAACTGTATATGAGAAGTACTGCTTATGTAATAGAGACATTGAACCCAATACGGTGCCCAGCAACCAACCTCTCAGAAGGCATATTATACGACAAAGTCTGATCGATATTTAGGTTTTCCGGATAAAAGAATCCTTTTCAAAAATATTGCTAGTAACCAACTTCTTGGAATTGGTCGTAAAGGATGATTGACGATATTCAACTTTATTTCGAGGCGGAAGCTAATTTTACAAAACACATTCGGGCGTACAGCTGATTTGATAGCATTTTGACTTGAGTACAAATTTCAGGTTGATACATCTCAGAGAGTACATCGGTAAGATATCATTCGAAGGCGCTCCAGAAGTATGTGCACCAAGATGGCGCACAACCCTAAGTCTAACCTGGTATACATACTATGTTCAGGATGTGCGCCATCTTGGTGCACATACTAGTTCTGGAGCTCCCATTGGAATATCAGACACAGATTTTGATTTTGTAATTTACCATTCAATGCGACGCGTTACTGAGATATTATCAATCTACACGAGATATGCGATTAACAGAATGCAGAATTTGTAATCACGACTCCGACACAAAAGTTCAACCAAATTATATCTCTTTATCCTTCGGCCCAACCCTCCATGCAAGACACAATTTTTACTGGCGTATTTTAATTTGAATTTTTACGTTTAGACCGTGAAAACATGCAGGATATGTCAAAAAAATAAATATAAAGACTCGCGCGAAAAATATGTAAATATAGATAATTGAATACAATTTATAAATTATTGTCAGGTTCATATTAGTTAGATATTTCCGAATAAGCAAGCGTTATGGTGTACATAATGCAAATCAATTTAAAATACTTTGGAAAAATGGTTTTCCATTCAGCTTCAAAACATAGACAAACAATGATTTCATTTAATTCCAATTAGAATGATACCAAGCATCGCTGGACAATAAATATACAAATAGTATTTTCACATAGTGTTGGGTGGCAAAATAAATGAAAAATGAGCTCAGTATAAAACTAGTTTGCTCTGGCCAATAAATACCATCAAAAATACACTTTAGTGGTTAATCAAACATTGGATGATGAAATGATAACATGCAAAAGAATTTGTAACTCCGTTATCTTATAAAGATAGCGAGACCCCAAGTGAATTGCACAATGAAAAGCATCTTTTATTTCTGCTAGTATCGTATTTTTAACCAATTAAGTGAAAAAAAGTTTGAAGATTCTGTCTGAATAGCAGGCAGAAATAACAGAAATGTACATAATATTAGTTTTCCGACATCAGTTTTCATGCTTACAATGAGGCAAGTTTTTGTGAGCATTGCCTGGGATGGTGACATTGAAATAGAAGACAAAATAGCATGAAAAAATTTTTTACCGTCTTGAAATAAAAAAGAAATGGCATGCAATAAATTGTGTCTAACTTGGGAAATGCAAAAATACATCAAAATTCGTTCTAGTTGGAAAAATCTCATTTTTCCTAAAAGCAGCAGAGAGTATGAAAATTGATCTAATAAAACAACTAAAAAAATTTGGCTAGTGGCATAGCTCATAAAAAAATAAAACGAAACGAATTCAAAAATTGAAGACATATTTCATTGCCATTTTTGAACGCCTACTCCTAGCATACTCGTTTTTTTTCTACATGTCCGTTTAAAAATGTGTTCTTCCTAGTTTGAATTCGGCCAATCAAAGAGGTAGATATCGTAACCCAAAGAATGACTACCGGTATGTACGTTAACAAAAACTTGACAAGGCCGTGCACCATTTGCCGCCGACTTAATGACCTATTTTCTCATGACACAGGAATTGAACTAAAAGACACGAGGTTCAAAGTGGCGATGGAAAAATGAAAATTCGTCATGATATTATACGTTTCATTCTTTCTAAGGTATTAGCTATTATCCTAATCTTAAAAGTTGCCGGACAATTGATACTAAAATTTGAAAAGTAACCATCGTTATCTACAGTGTAAACAAAATAAATTAGCTTGACACGGACTGAACAGAAAAGTGTTCCACCATGCAAAAAAGCAATAAATATTTCCCATTGGAACAAAAACGAAAAAAAAGTAACAAGTGGAGTTATATTAATGCAATCGGACATCGCGTTCGTAATTCGCGTTTTCGAACGACAGTGAAGTTGAAACTCGACGAAGTCTCAAATTGAATTCTTCTTCCTCATCTTGAAAACATTCGCTAGGTGTCGTCCTTTGGTCACCCATGTCTGCTTCGAGACTTGCGAGTCGTCTTTGATCAACCCGTGAGTAGTTTTCAAAAAGCATTGCTCTGTTTTGATCGGCAGATTTTTTAACCCAGTGTCCGTAAACGGCGAATGAAGAAGCGTCTATAAGCTTACGTAGGGGTTTGATAGAGTAAGGATCACATTTTGCTCTTTCACACAGTGATTTGCGGTGGTTTTGATACATGCGTACGATTCGTCCCGACGCCATGACAGTGAGAACAGCAACCTGAAAAACAAGATTAATAGTGACTAACATATCGAAGCCATATTACAGAAATATTCAAGATGGAAAAACATATATCTGCAGAGGCTTCCTCTGTTCCAGAATTAATTTTTAATCGTCATTATTGGTTAAGATTTCATATAAATAATATTACAGATAAGATTGCTCACTCGAAATTTATGTTTCGCTCTGAAAGCTTTACTAAAATATCTGCTGCTTTCGTCAACGTGTTGAAAAAATGAATGTTGAAGAGCTTCGACTGCCGTCAGTCTTTGTGAGGGATCAACTTCTAATAGTCTTTCAATCTGTATAATGTACAATATTAATTTAATGATTCTGATCGCATTCATTCATCAAAAGCAATACCATAACATGAAATGATTTTAATAGGTGCTTTGCTAAAACTATGGATTCTCAGCTACTCAGTTTTAAATAAATAAGAGACAAATCGGTTAGAGAAGAAATATGTGTAAAAGTTATCCTAGTCTAGGCAATTACTAAAAAGAGCGTATAAACATACTCAGGAAAAAGTTAAGATTGTGGTGCATTGATCAAAACAAATTGCTTTTATTTCTTAAATAAATCCACTCCCAATCCCGAATTTTTTTTTAACCAGTGGATAAAAACCAAAAACAAAAAAAAAATTACCAAATCTTTTGCAGGTTCTGAAATATCATCCCAGTCTGGACTAGGAAATGAAAATTTTCCTTCCATAATTCTTCTGAACATAATCATTTGTTTTCTGTGCCAGAAAGGAGGAACACCTGCTAATCTGTTAATTAAAACAGGAAGCATTAGATTACAATCTGATCACAGTCACCAAGTAAATGATAATGTAGCACTTACAATGAATACATAATGACTCCGCAAGCCCACATATCTATTTCACGCCCATATCCCGGGTTACGTTCATCTACCGAACACTTGAGCATTTCAGGTGACATGTAACCGGGAGTTCCACACAAATCTGAAACACGAAAAATATTTAGATATGTTGTTTCATAGGCTGACATCGGCATAACAAATATGATAGAATGTCAAAGTTCCGCTTTTAACTAAAAAATTATAAGAGATGAACAATAATCAAAGACGATGACAAAGATATTGCAATATATATTCAGATAATTCTTTTCATTAGATACTTGATTAGCCATATTTAGTCTCTATTATTCGCTCTTAAGATACTTCTCTCTATTAATGGAAGATGAAAATGAAATAATTTCATGATCTTACAGCAACAGTTCTCAAACTCACCTCTCAGACATTGTTCTTCTTGTAAAACAACGGCGAACCCGAAGTCCGATAAATGTAATTTAAGATTATCGTCGAGAAGAATATTTTCAGGCTGTATGCAAATTAAAGATATTAAAAATTTGCCAACAAAAATTGTATTATTGATGATTGAATCGAGATCTTTGGACTTTTAGTGATAATGCCAAATTTCATACGTGTGACAGGATATCTCAAATTTATAACTTTCTGTCCATGCTTCGATTCCAATTCAAGAACGCAAAAGTGAGGTTTGACCAAAGAAGCATTTTGTGAATACATTAAGATTTAGACGCCGATCTTCTTCATTTAAACAAACTAACAAATATGGAGCATCACAAAGTATATTACTGGAGATTTAAATCTCGTTTCTCTCTCGATATGTACATCACGCATATGGTCCCATGAACATCAACTAAGCAAATTGATTCACCAACAATACAAACTTGGCCAAGTTTATTATGGCATGTTTTCATGAACATAAGTACAATTATTAATTATTACCATAACGTTATATTTCTTAATTTTTAATTATAAAAATAGTGCAAATATTACCTTCAAATCACGATGAACTATATTCCTATTGTGAAGATAAGAAACTGATTCTAATAATGATTGCATAGTTGATCTGAACAAAGTTAAAAATACAGTTTAGTGACTGAGAATTAACATGTCGGTACTCACTTCTGGCCATACGAAAGATCAATAATAATAAAAAGTAAACCATTTCACATAACTCCGATGAAACTGAACTATAATTGTGAGAAAAATAATCAATGCACTACACCTTACCCATCCCACTACTGGAATTATCGTAACCTTGAACATGTCTTATAAGCATATGACAACTATAATATTACTTCGTTTGTTGTTGAGTCTGTCCGCCTTTTTCTTTGTTTCAAATTTTTCGTTTTGCGACACGAAGTCGAAAGTGTGAGTTAATGAGTAATCAAATAGAATATTTTTTAAGACCTTCCCAAGGGGAACTTCGCACTCTCGCTTTAATGGCGCAATCTCTACGACAGGTGGTAAACAAAGAATTACGACGGGTTTTACACAAGACGTCAATAATATTGGAAAATATGGCACCGCTAAATGCGACGAGGCAATTCGTTTTACGACTTCCATACATCACAGAACATAAGGATAATTGGTCTCACATTACGAGTGGGAAAAGAGACTAAGCTAAGACCCAAACGTTTCAGCGACTTCATAATATTGCATTCGTTAAAAGTAATAAATTTGTTGTGGATGTCAAAATGATAAGCAACAAATATAACAAAGATTTTGTAATAAAACACAATGTTTTATAGCAAAATAAACCCTCCACGCTGCGTGAATTTTGCCCTGGGGATCTACCCACAGCAGTACCTTCCTAAAGAAATGTCGTTAAACAAATAGTAAACATACCTCGTCTGCTTCTCGTTAAATTTCACAACTTCTGTGAGGTAGTCGAACAGTTCCCCTTTACGTAGTCTAGAAGAAGAAAAAAGATTTGAAGTACTTTTACTTGAGTGGACTACGTGGAAGCTGTAAGATATGCATTATGCAAGTCAAAGCGCTTTAAGTATGGAATAATATCCGGAAAATATCATCATTACCATCTAATAACAAGTAAGGATATGCATGGATTATGTCCGAAGACACAATCTACATTTATCCCGCGCGTGGCAGATTGTCAAAAGCGCTAACCTTGAGTATGTGCTTAACGACAAGTATATAATTACAGTTATGAACGATTAAGACGCTAATGCAGTGCATGTGATGCACTACACCGGGATTGTCATAAAATATATTCTGCCTACAATATTTCCCTCTGTGATACAACATATTGAAAATGATCAGTGCAATCGGGTACACTATTTTAAGAATTTACATTACGCATAGGTCGCGGTGACGTGAATCTAAATGATTTTAACGCTTCACAACAAATAAATTATTTTATTTCAATAAAGGGGGCGATGGTTATGAAATATTAATTAATAATTCGTATATTGGAACTCTTCGGTCAATTACACGGTGCTGTTCTACATAGACAAATGTTATTGCAGGGAAAAGAATGATATCCAGATGGGAAGCACGGGGAAAAGATTATAGAACGACATCTTGCTCGTCCTTCCGTGATTAATCGCTACCATCTTGCCCTCAATAAAATCACGACGCCATATTGCCAGCGCCTCCTCTTTGGGAAACTATACGTTTATCTATGTCCGATTGTGTTCCGGTGAAAAACGTACCTAAAACAACTGATGAACTAACGATTGAATAACTGATCAATGGATTCATTGTATTGCTCACAAATAATTGCTATCACATGAATAAAAAACGGGTCACTATCGAATGGTCATTTTGACTATGAATTTAAATTCAAATACGGCTTCGTTGTGATATTTTTTTTATTTTATATAACAATTTGGATATGTAAAACATCTTATATTATTTGCGAGCATTTAGAATCGTTAAAAAGTTCATTCGTATCTCGTATGACTCCGATTTTAGTCGATTACGTAATGTTCGTCACCGCGACGAAATGACAATATTGACCTAACTCTCTCAATGGTTTGGGACTTGGGCGCATGTGAAGGATAGCAGAAGTTCATCAACTGGGTGTTGCCGTTTATGCGTTTCCACGAGGCTTAAAACTCTTTTATCTGTTTAATTAAACAAAAAACATACAGAACACGCGTCAGCCAGGTCAATGCTGATATATACTTGTAGGCTCGACAAAAAGTCGATAAAAACTGCTACGAAATGAGCAATCCGCCACCATTATTTATGTTTAAAAATTGGATGCTAAATAAAATAATGATACCGCTCACAAAATATAAAAATATTCAAATCAAGAAAACCTTTAACAACAAATGCACATTCTCACTATAACATCTGTTGTTGTTTTAATAATAAATAGACGCGAATTACCGCAGGCTTTGCAGATGAGATATAATTATAATATTCAACTTACAATTCAAAAATAAGAAAGATGAAAGTATTCGTCTCAAAAACATCAACCAGTTCAACTGTAAACAAATATGAAAGGTTAGGTAATAGCTGGTAAATTTGTAAATTTAAACCTTAATGTACAGTTATTATACAAAAAATAAACAAAGCCAATTCAAGTCAGCGTTGCCAATTACACAAACTCTACAACATAATTTTTTTCATATCAGCTTAACTCATGTGGATAATGAATAAAAATCCAAATATCAGCTGTTACTAGACATGATGCTTCCTTTTAATTTTCAACTCATAAAAAAGAATTATTACATCTAGAGCCGATAATATATGAAAGTAAGTAGCCTAACATATCGATATGTTTCAAACATTTTCTAAATGGCCTTTTCAATTTTCTAATTGTCTATATGCTTATCCTACTTATTCCATGAATTATATTCTTAAAACGACTGGATAATGGAATAATAATAACCTGTAATGTTGGTCCTGAATTTTTCAAATTCGCCTCTGTATTGCAAATCTTTCATGACGATTCAAGGTATATCTGATTGCATGCAATATACAGTCTAGTATTCACACGTATATTCTATATATCAGTGTTTTTTATATTCTGATTTGGCGACAAAATATTACCGTCTTATATACGAACAAAACACCACAAGTTTACGTGCGCCAGTCTGGCGGTGCCTCCCCCGGTTAAGTGAACCTTAAAATGGACTCGTATCTCAGTACCCGCCCACTTATCACCACCGCCAGACATAGCCTTTGGGCTATGCTTTCTTGAGTTTGAACTGTTTATTTTAAGTTCAGATAGGTTATGTAACTGTCGCCCGGGTGGCGCTTATGTAACTGGCGAATCCGACAGCTTTTTTTCTTCAACATCAAAACATCTTATTTTTAATATTAAACTCGCCAATAAGTTTTAAATTTTCTCGCCGTATCGGGACCGAAACTTTTTTGTCATTGGTGATTTTATTCAGCTATAAATGACCAGGTACCTGGGCAATCGAATAGAAAGAAAAATACCTAACTATCTAAAATTTAGATTCTAAATACCGGTAAATAAATATTGAAAATAAAACATTATAATATAATCAGTCTAATATACTAGAGTTGAACACGACCTCAAAACTACCCGATACGAAAAATTGTCTAAAAACAGCAATTCCGTAACTCTAAAAATTCTTATAGTTTTATTATTGCTATTCGGTAATTTTATTTTCTCTCTGCTGATAGGTAATAATTTATTATGTTTCCATGTTCGACTTCGATATAGAATTTTCAAATTAGACCTCATCATTACCAAATTTGGGAAGAAAAGTATTAATATTACATTTAACGCCAACTTTTCGGACGGTCAAAGAGTAAATAAGCAGGAACCTTGAAACCGAAGATTAAAAATTTCGCGCCGGTGGATTATCGCCATGCATTCAGTTTGGTCATGAAACAACGCCTCCTGAAACAACCAATCACTACGCAGGCCTGGGAGGCACGTCATTCTTGCACGTAAAATTGATGTTTACGGACGTTCTGAGCTTTGCGTGAGATAGATAAGGAAAACAACACATCACCATAGTGACCTATGTCCCTTTCCCCCTAAAGAGTCTAAAATTATTACTTTTAATTTTTTGCTAGCAGTAGTGGAAAGGTAATAAAAGATTTAGACAATCAACTTATATCCTAACCTCAGGATGTGAACAAATTAAAACCTTGCATTGTTCCCTCTCGAAAATGAGAAACTGAGTGAGAGGTCAAAATTTAGAAAACATATTTACAGTTGAAAAGGGAATCTTGAATGATTCACCAAGGTCTTATACAGGAACTGGTAAATATTTTGTGATTTCGAATGAGTCTTTATAAACAACATTAGTATAAAAGAATTCCTTAGGGAAGATATACATGCTTACTCTCACACCATTTATCATTAAACAAAAGTTTTTAAACCCGAACGAAACTTCAGTATATGATAAGAGAAAACCTTTTTTATGCTGGAAAATCGCTTTTCGGTATCTTAATTAACTGTTGAGTCATTTTTTCATATTAAACCGGTGTAAATATTTTTGCCTAATTGTATTTTTGCACACCTTGCCGATTATATTTCTCTAAAGCTCTAACAAACTACAGATTGGGGTCAGAATTTACTTCAATCTGGAGTCAGGAGCTGAAGTTTATATCAGAGCCATTTTGAAATGATTCAGAGCTTGGAGTTGGCATAAATATTTCAGTTACTTTTCAGTTCTATGAAAGCATACATATATAGTCAAAATAATAAAAAATGTTTACACTCCACCTCCAAAAATCACGAAACAAATCGCCTTCATATCATTATCAAGTAAATTGGTAGACTTGTGCTGTCTGTGTCCTAGTTGATAATGGCAAAAATACAGCATGCAAGACAGGGATTGCAAAATTTGAATGATTTGGTACTCTAGAATTCATCAAACAACTAATTTTCATGCCGAATATTCAACTAGAGCGATGATTATTTTTCACAAAAAATACCTATCATTTTATCAGTAAACCTTCTAATTGACATTTTGAATCTGAAATTACAAATAAATCACAATCATACCAATAAAAAATAACATTAATAACTTTATTCTATCTCTTACTTATATGTGCTTGTCCAGACACCAATCGAAGAATATTGATTTCATTGTGTGTTACATCTCTAAGCTCTTCAGCCAACAGTTCTCCATTTCCTATCAAATCTATTATTTTGACAGCGTATTCCCTCCGAGTCTGTTTGTGTATACATCTTCTTACCGTACTGCTTACTCCCCTGTATTTTAATAAATTTTGAAAGCTTTGGAAATATCCTAAATTGATTACACAACAAAATCAAAGCAGAACTTCAATCAAAATTTAGGAATGAATTTTCATAGCTTACTTAAATCTATTATACCCAATGGTATGTTTTTGATAGAAAGGTTTCTAAAAGATCGGAAATTTATTTCTTAAAATCGGTGATTTTCCATATATATTTCCTTATTCAAAGTTTGGACCAGATCTTATCAATATGTGATAACTGCTGGAGAGAAAAACTTATTTAACACTAGTTTCCAGAATAGTACAATAATAAGTCCAACATAATCCTCCACTTTCACAAGAAGCACCAAGTACAAAACAATGCAAAATATCAGAATCATAGTATGAGCACTAGTGTCCCTTAAAAAACTCCATATATGTGTTTGGTATTATTAAAGTTGTTAAAAGGTAAGTTAGTTTATGTAGCTTAGTTTTATTGAATTATTGCAAAAGGTGTTGATTGCCTGTCACTCCATAAATAAAACAGTAAAATATAAACAACTTGTGCTATGTGCTATACCGAATCACAACTTAACAGGAATATGTTCACACATCATAGAAGACATGATAGAAGTCAGCATTTTACATATGATAAAGCAAACTAACATTAATTGAAAAACTTACATTCCAAGTATTTCTTTTGGTTCATATTTTTCATAAAATTCTTTCGCAGAAGTAACATCAGGTAGATCCTCTGCTCTAGTCATGTTGATAAAAGTTAAAACCTATATAAAATCTTAAATAATAGACAATAAAAGAAAGGAAACATCAGATGAGACAAAGCAGATATGCAAGATTTGAAACAGTAATAAACTGGATTTGTGAATTTGCAAGAAATAGAAACTTATCAGACTACACTAGCACACAAAGTGGTCAAAAATTTATTCACCACAAATATATAAATTTCATCTTAATAATCGAGGAAAATGGAACACAAACACATGGAACTAGATAAATACAGTCTATGGCATTTCTGAACTTAGTCCTTTTGCTGCTTTGACACACTTTGCCATTGTTTGTGATGCCCTACTAATCGAATCAGTCATATAAAAGTCAGACAGTTCAATCATGTTTGGTTTTAATGGTGAGTTTGAAAATCGAGCTTCTATAAACTTCGATAGTTCAGCTGCTTGGGCAAAGAAATTTGCAGGTTCTATGACATCATATCTCGTGAGATTCGGTGATATCTCAGCAACCCTGTCACGCATCTCTTCTAAAGTGTCGTAATCAAAATTAAATCCTGCTACTTCAGACAAAGCACGAATAATCATCCAATCCTCTCTGGCCATACCTGGTGGTGAAACGGCAGGAAAACATTGCTGAGCACGGCCTTCTGTACTGACATAGGTAGCAGTTTTCTCAGTGTACGCTGCTCCAGGTAAGATGATGTCAGAGAATGGTGCAACATGGTCACCGTGAGTACCAATGTAGACAACGGTACATTTGTCTGTTAACCGCTTTCTTGTCAATGCTCCATCATCAGCACCGATAACAAATATCAGTTTTGGTGGATTTTTAATAATGTCATCAACTCCAGCTCTATATCCTGCATCCAATGCCCCAACTTGACTTGCCATGCGATGCAGGATATTGAGTGTTCGCCAATTTGGATCATCTAGTTTGCCTTGCGAACGCACATTTTGTGCAGTTTCTAATACAGATGCATGAATCGCTGCTCCATCAGCACGACCAAGCATTTCTGCACCAAGAATTATCATGGGTCGTTTGGCTGCTTGTAATTTCTTGCTGAAAGGATGTTTGCCTTCAGAAATTTCTTTCAAAATACTTGCAGTGTCCCCTAAATGATCATATGTGTATGTTAAATCAACTTTTGAGCCAAGCAAAGCAATATCTACTTCATTGTGCACCCAGGCTTTTCTGATCCTCGCATTGACCATTGGTGCTTCGAATCTTGGATTGGTTCCTACAAGTAATATCAAATCGGCTTCTTCAATACCTGCAATTCCAGTATTCAGTAGATAACTGGATCGAATGTCAGTGCCAGGTCCATCCATTGGATATATTTCCTCAGTATGCAATCTCTCACTTCCTACTCTGTTCAGCAAATCCTTCATTGCAACCAGAGTTTCAGCATCTGCAAATCCACCGGCTACAGCTGCAATGTCTTCAGGTTTAGTAGAATTCAATTTTTCTGCTACTGCCAACAAAGCATCTTCCCATGCTGCAGCTTTTAATCTACCACCTTCCTTTATCATTGGTTGAGTGAGTCGCTGCCTTTTCAGTCCATCATAAGCAAATCTTGTTTTGTCAGATATCCACTCTTCATTTAATATCCTCATTCAGTCTAGGTAGAATTCTCATAACCTCCCCTGTGCGATTCGAGACCACAATATTTGAACCGACTGCATCCATTACATCGACTGATTGTGTCTTTCTAGTCTCCCATGGTCTTGCAGTGAAGGCATATGGTTTCGATGTCAGAGCTCCGACCGGACAAATATCAATAACATTTCCAGAAAGTTCAGAACGAAACATTTTTTCCACATAGGTTCCTATCTGCATGTCATTTCCCCGGCCTGTTGTGCCGAGATCAGGTACGCCAGCAATCTCATCACCAAATCGCACACAGCGGGTGCATTGAATGCATCTGGTCATTATAGTTTTGATCAGTGGTCCAATATTTTTATCTTCAACAGCTCGTTTTGTTTCTTTGAACCTGCTACGATCAGAGCCAAACATCATTGACTGATCTTGAAGATCACATTCACCGCCTTGGTCACAAATGGGGCAATCTAAAGGATGATTTGCCAAAAGAAATTCCATTACACCTTCTCTTGCCTTTTTTGACTTTTCAGAGTCGGTGAGAATTTTCATCCCCTTCATGACAGGATATGCACATGAGGCAATTGGCTTGGGTGCCTTTTCTAATTCTACCAAACACATGCGACAGTTTCCAGCAACTGACAATCTGTCATGGAAGCAGAAACGAGGAATTTGTACACCAGCCAGTTCACAAGCTTGTAACACTGTTGATCCTTGAGGTACCTCTATGGGATTGCCATCCACAAACACTTCAACATTGTCACAAATTCGGTTGCAGAGACTAATAGAAGCTTTGGAAATATTATGCGGCCAGACAGCACGAGAAAGTTGAGATACGGAAGCACGAAGCATTGTCAGTATTTTTTCTTAAATTACTAATAAATAAATAGACGCCAAATTGTAGATAGGCCTTGTTGAATTTCACAGAAACATCTAAAATGAATTAAAATTTGTTCAGTAATCAAACATAATACCAAAAATATAAAGTTTCTATCTGTAAAAAAGCAGTAATATGAGTTTTCCTGTCCCGTTTTCATCATTTTCATCCACCCACCATAGTCTACATACAGTACAACACAAAATTCAGGAATGAATACTTTATGACGAGATCTAACCTCCAAAAATTAATTACAGTTAGTCACCCACTCCGCAAAATTATGTATTATACAATCCATTTGACCTGATGGCAGGATGGGGAAAAACTGTTGTGGGTTTCATGAAATCATCAGTACCGGTATCATGAAATTCTGAATCCTCCAACTGTACTATACTGATGTACGCGGTATGTTCCTATGCGTGAGCGCTGACATCACTGCATTAACACAGTAACATAACAGGCTTTACAGCTTTATATTACTGGTTCACACAAATCTAATTAATATACCGTATACGGTAATCGTTACCTTCAGCGTTACTGCAGTACTGCGTACGTACTGCGTTACCGGTAACGACAAAATTCTGAAATTGCTTCCATGACAGCATGACAAACGAACTTACGGTACCGTACCGGTACCGGTACCTTACTGCACAACTGTACGGTACGGTACCGGTACCGGTACCTTGCAAACCTGTTTACGGTTAACGTTATACGGTACCGGTACCGTACTGTTATAGGTTAAATGACCAGCTCAAGAACAGAATAACGCAAGTGCAGTTTTAAGTATTCTGTGGCGTCTTCAGCTGCCGCAAAACCATGGCGGTATTTCCATACCATGGCCGCTACGGCCAACTCAATGATGGCGACTGACTTTTTAGCTGCCACAAACCAATGTCGAGCTGCCGTTACCGCAGCAGCAAATTGAAAGACTCCAGGTTGATTTTGTTATATGAATTTGCGCAGTCTCGTTCCGGCAGTCCAAATATCTGAACTTTACACCGAGAAGTCTACATCATTGTCCATCATCATCGCCACCGCCAACAACAAAGACAATAGGTAAGAAATATATTTTAACAAATCATTTAAACAATTAGACTGAGTGCTTGGTGATAACTCAGAACTCAGAACTCAGAACTCAGAAGTTTTATTTCGTCGTGCATGAAATATTGTACGCAATTAAACAATTATAATGATAATACAAAAATCAATTGAAGACTGAAGTATACATGCATACAATATATCGCAATTGACGCGGAGCCGCGAAAGACTGCAAAAGTCATCGTGTCAACGACACCGTGTTGATTTATTGATGAACAGATGACATTGAATAAATGTAAAAAAAAAAAAAAAATATGAATTGGATGATATCATCATGACTTGCTGAGCGAATTTAATTCAGGAAATAAAAAGTAAATATGATGCAAGTCAATCGGGAAAGAGTGACTGATTAAGTCAGTTTTGCTTTATAATGTCATGCTCGGTGACTGGTCTGAAGCAAAAGTTAGATTCCATTAATTGGACAATATGTTTGAATAATTTGCTGTCTGCTTCTGAAGCAAAATTAATTCCATATGAAATATTTGAATTTTGCTTCTGAACAAGGCTCTAGTCTAACTATGCATTTCTTCTAATTATAAAAGGAATGAAACTTATGGCAAGTTGTCTATAAATATAAAAAAATGTGCCCCTGAACTGAAGGTATGCGCACCAAGAATGTCGCATAACCTGAACCCTAACCTGGTACACAACGTGAGTTAAGGTTGTGCGCCATCTTGTACGCATACCTTAGGCTTAGGAGGTAAAAAAAAAAAATCGAACGAATGCAATTATGGGAAGAAAAACATAAATTAGTGCATATTATTAAATATACAAATATACATTTTCAACTATACAAATATAAACATACTTTCTCGTATATTTTTACAAAACTGTTGTGACGACATACTTTCAACAACATATCGATCAGAAATTTAAATTTATGGAACATATAATAAAAAAACATTTTAGGGACCAAATACGCGATTCTTGGTTGTCCTTTTAAACATAATTTCTCGATTCTTTTGCTGGAACAGGACTCTAGAGTTAAAAATTAAAAAAAAAATTGAAATTTGAAATTTTTGGTCATTGTTTCATGTCATTTATGGAAGCTAGAATGAGTATTGGGCCAATAAAAGATCCCTAAAGAACTCCTTGCTTCATGACACAAATATTAGTAGAGAAGGAAATGTCATATTGCACAACAGCAGTCGAAAACCAAATTGATGCGAGTGGAAAACATTGTTGCTTTCAAAGTAGTTTGACATTCTGCTAAAGCCTACATTATCTTTTTCACAAATTTCAGAAAACAATGTTAGAAGATCAGGGATGGATTAACCATCCTATTCTCAAATTTATCGACACAGAAACCAAACAGAAACTTAACTTAAGTTGTGTGACAAGAGTCGCGAGGGACCTCATAAGGTCTTCGGGCATGACACCTAAAAAGCTCGATGATTCAGGTTTGTTTTATAAGTTATTAAAACACCAAAACACTTCAAATAATATTTTAAGAAAAAGGCAGTATTTTTGGAACAAAATATTACCAAATATGTTTTCTGAGTGGTTTGTAAAAGAAAAACATTCCAGTTATGAGCATGTTTCTTAAAATCCGCGAACAACGATGCAACTTAATACACTGTATACATTCATCAGATATATAGAAAGAAAAATAAATATACTGTATTAATTACTCAAACGGGATCAGTCATCAAGTGCAGTTTTAAGTATTCTGTGGCATCTGCAGCTGCCGCAAAACCATGGCAGTATTTCCATACCATGGCCGCTACGGCCAAACTCATGGCAACTGACTTTTTAGCTGCCACAAACCAATGTCGAGCTGCCGTTACCGCGCATCAAATTGAAAACCAATGGCAGGTAAAATTTTGCTGCCGTAACCGCGGCAGGTGAGCCGTAAAGACAGGGCTATCTATTATGGTGACAAATATTGGGTAAGTTGGAACGTTTTTCTTATGGATACAGTTTTGATTGATTTGGGGTTAGGGTTAGGGTTTAAGTAGATATAATTCCACATGATCAATTAAAATCTGGTACATTAATTTGTGAATATACCGTTAATACTGATTACTGAATACTGAATAGCGCTATAAAACCATGGCAAGAGCTGCCGCGGTTCGTTCGTGGCAGGAGCTGCCATGAAGTGGTAAGAACTGCGCCTCTCAGTCATTGCCCTGATCCCTGGCATGGCGCAAGCAAGCAATCGAAATTTGGTTCTCAGAAAGTCAGACTCCCCGCACATCTGATTTTCCCGCAGGACAGAGCGTGGATAGACAGAATCGAATGTTTGGACAAAATAATAAGGACTTGGGGGTTAGTTGCAAAGAGAGCAGTACAGGTGGTGGTGAATTATCAATTCAAAGGAACGTAGTTACTAATGTACTTCATTTTTAGTTCTCTTTTAAAACCATAATAAGACAGTGATCTTAGGGTACCTGATATATTGTTCCATAACTTCACATCCATGTATCCATCCATGTGGTGAAATAACCTACAAATGCTTTTAGAAGTTTGCCGTCAAAGTACTGGTGCAAAAGTTTCAATACCTCGAATTCATGGACGTGGCAAAGTTTCATAATTTTAAATTTATGGTACAATTGATATATTCACTAATTAAATAATTGGAATAGACAACAGTTTGGGAGTGATAACAAGGAATATACAGCAAAGCGAACAGTTTTGAATTTGCATACAGAAAATCAATCCAATGATTTCATGCTACGAGAATTTATTATTTTGGGATCTCTTTTACGAGCAGGGTAAGCCTCTAATACCTTGGAGATAAAATGTAATTTATTAAGGAAAATTTTCATCAATAGTATATTAAAATATAACAACCGTTTTGTATTGTAAGAAAAATATTATTCTTAAAATAAAAAGCACTCGTTTTTACTATTTAGATTAATCGAATACTTGGTATAAAATGCGAGAAAATGAATTTTAACGTCTTTTACCAATATTTTTGCGTGAGTGTATATTTGAAAATTCTACAAAATATTCCAAATCACGATATTTTAGTATCCAATTAAGACATGAAAAGATTTCAACGGACACTGTGCGTTGCGGCCTTTCATTTTTGCCTCATATTAATTCTGGAATGTTTTTTTCTTGCAAAAAGTTGTTTCTATAGAGAGCAACACAAATGTAGCTTTTTGGTTCGAACTTTGATATACGTTCAATTTATAATTCGGCTTCACAGGCCAATTTGTCCGTAGATAACAAAAGAGTTCGAATTTCACATTCTATTGAAGGATAGTTTAGAAATTAACGACTAACAATAACCCACGCATACAAAAAATATGATTGGCAACTTTATACATCACCTTGTGATAAATTTTTATTCCTGTTACGAATATGCGTGGATAACTTATCCTATATTGTCTATTTTCTACCGACTTATATGCAAAGTTGTTTCTCAGATATTCAAGAACCTCATAATATGTCAATTCGTCCCTGATAAAACCTGAAATAGAATGATTTCTTGCACATATCCCGACTGCTTCTGGGTAATCGATGACTGATTTCTGAAACTTTACAGCTTAATAGCAAATATTGTCAACTTGTACACCATAGTTAGCTGAAATAAAAGAACACTTTAGCTGATTATTACAAAAAATATATCTTTACTTTTGGAGCCCGAACAAGCAGTAAAGTTACCACTGATTTATATTAGCCAAGATAGAGATAGAAAATAATAAAATCCTACCTTTACATGTATTTGCGACGTATTTACATTTTCCTGGACGTATTACGAGTCTTAGAATTAGATAGAACACCCATTGACGTAGTATATGAGGTAATAATAATGTACAAGTTCATAATAATGTATATGTATTTTAATGGCACAAAACAGACAATGCAAATTCAAATTCCCGACCTGTAACACCAGGTGTTTGCAATGGCTTTTGACTGTTTTTTGAGGCGACGACTGCTGCAATGACACTGGATATGATAACCAATAATAGTGTCAATCCTACCCGCAAAAACATTTTCTTTCTGTTTGATCTGTTGTCGTCTCAATGATATGGCATATATCGTCT